CGTGCCTTGGGGACGCCCCCGAGAACAGGGCAGTCGGCCGCCCCTTCGACCCTCACGTCCTTGTAACAGGTCACGATGCAACCCAGCCCATCTCCGCTGGAAGGGATTTGTTCTCACACCAAGTGGCCACATCCTGTGGGACAAGTGGATCTAGCAGGAGGGCCAGGGAGCGCGGGGCCAAAACGTGCCTCCAGCAGCTGCTTCGGGCAGGACGGTGCTGCAGGAGCCGCACAGCCCTGTTCGTGCTGGCCTGGGGATGAAAACAAAGAGCCAAGGGCACCTCCTTTACCATTTGGCTAAAAATACTTCCCAAACCTCATTATTGGCAGCCTGGTGTCAGCAGGACCTGGAAGCGCTGACAGAGCTGGTTTCTGCTCTGCTGTCTCTGGCAATCCTTGCTCCTTCCTGCCTCAAGGGGAGAGCGCATCTCATTGTGACAGAAGGCTCTGGCTCTCCCCTGTCTGCGGGGCAGAGCCAACGCCCAGACCGGAGGCCAGGAGACAGCAGCCACCACAGAAACTCAGCCACGTCTTTGCCCTCGCCTCTAGCAGACGACGATCAGAGAGTTAAAAGGGATCCGCTGAACCACAGCGACTTGAAAGGGTTCACACCAGCTTAAAGGAGCTGAGGATCAAATACTGGTCGTGCTGTCAGGACCAGCGGCTCTCTAACGTATCAGAGGTGAAGTACAAGTGCCGGCTTCTCGTGACTGCACTGTGGAGCAGCGCACTTGAAATGCATGGGGACTTACTGCTGTCTCCTGCTGACAGGCTAGGGTCACATCCTGGCACGGTGCTGCAGGATGCCCGCGTTGATGCTTGTGTACCATGCTGAAGCTGTGAGGAGCTGCCTATGTGGCAAAGTGTTTTATTAAATTACCTGGCCAGGCAGAGGATGGGAAAGCAGGAGAGATCCCACAGCACCTTCCTCCTGCATTGGTCACACCAACATGACCGATCTGAACCGGCATCTCCACCAGGTACACGCTAGTGTGGCAGGGAAGGCTCAGCCACCCGCAGCCCCCAGGGAGCACCACGAGGGGATGGAGCTGCTGCTGCTCATGACAGTGGGCGCTGCAAGAGTGGAGGGGAGCAGAGAGATGGACGGATAGAGACCAAATGCCACAGGGGAGCAGGGGGCACGCAGGATGAGCTGCCTGCCCGGGGATAGCTGGAGGGAGGACACACATTTGAATGCATCAAGCCTGGCAAGGGAAAACACATTGCAATTCCCAAAGCGCGGCAGATGCCTGGGAGTGCCGTTGGCCGGGCCCTCGTGCCTGAGCATGAGGCGTTGCCTTGTCTGGCACTAAGCTTGGTATAAGAGAGACTTGTGAAGCAAAGTTTGGGCTCTAACCCTCTTGCTCCTGCTGAGTACTTGAATCTGCTCCTCTCTGCTCCAAGTCCCCATCACCTTCTGCACCACGGCAGAAAGCCTCCCTCCTCCGCTTTCTTTTGTTCTGCCTGCAAACAATGCAACAAGCTCCGTGGGGAAGCAGCACAAAGAACAAGAAAAAGCAAGAATAAGAATAGTTCCATCCCCAAGGCCCCTTTCCTACAATTACAGATCAGAAAATAAAATCTGTGTTCTGTAGCACTGCTAGGAACAGTCTAGTGAAAAAGCACTTGCACACATGGACACACACACGGGCAGGTAGAGGGACCTCACACAGCTGGAGGGGGAAAGCTTGACAGCCACATGCGCAGGGCGACGTCAGACGCAGCCTGAACGGAGAGGGTGGCCACCGGGCAAGGTGAGCAGGAGTACACTGAGAACACGCCCAGGCAGCACCGGCTGGCGCACACTCACATACGCAGTTCGAGTTCCTGGCATGCCAAGGCTGATTTCTCTCACGATCACCCCAAAGACAACTTACGGCACCCAGCTCTGCGACACAACCCTCTCTGCTAGCTGCAGGCATCTGTAGGTGGCAGCTTCCCATGGTTAAATTCTGCTCTCAGCCTTCTAAATATCTCAATCTCCATTTCTGTGAAGGTCTGGAGACGCCCCTCACCCCACCTCGAACCAGTGTGTTCCCCGTGGCTGCACAGCACTGGAGCTCAGCACCCCCAGCAGCCGCACGGGGACATCATCGATTGGAATCAGCACTGTGACGGAGCCCTCCCTGGCCTTGTCCTCCTCCGTCCCACGCCCCTGTCCCTGCTGTGCCCCAGTTTATTGCTGCCTGGGACAGGCTCCCTGCAGAGCGCTCAAATGCAAAGCCAGCGCTGTGGATTTGAAGCAAGCAGCTGTGCACAAGGTGCCTGCAGCCCTGCCGTCACCTGGCACGAGAACACACATTTCAAGGAAATTTTCCACACATTGGGGATGTTTTCTGAGCACCAGCTTTCCAACCCAACTGCTCGTGACTCAGGCCAGTTGGCAGGGCCAGAAGGCTGCTTTGTGCCTTAGGTAATAACAATTTAACAAGGTAACAATCTCTTTAGCCACAAATTAAATGGAAATAGGAAATGTCCTGTGCAGATAAGCTGCTGCCTGGATTATGTCCCCTGCCCAAATATAAACTCCTCTGATCTTTGATCCCTGTGCACACACAGCGCCAAGCTGTGGCTCCGCACCTCCCAAGCCTCACGTCACTTGTCACCCTTCGCCACTGCCCTCCTGTCGTTGCTGGTTGCCGGTCTGGCCTGCGTCAGGCACCACTGCAGATGCCCCACTGTCAGCAGCAGGGACACACAAGCATCCCCAGCCACCTTCCCCAACCTCCCTTGCCACTCACAAATCCATCACTTGCCCGTGCCGGGAGATGGCTGCTCGTGCCCGGGC